AAGGCGTAGGCCCTGTTTTCGGCGGCTGGTCCGTCCATAAATCGATAAGATCTTTTCCGTCTACTCTGAGCTTGCCCTTACCCGATGTACTGAAGCCGAATCTGAAGGGGCCTGTGACTGAAGGTGTGTATGTAGCCTTGGCTCTGACGTAGAACTTTTTCGGAAGCGACGCATGGAAACTCTCTGGCACATCTATGAGCTCTTTCTGGGCGTGGGCCGTCACGAGTACTTTTGCGTCAGGTTTCTCGTCCGGGTTCTCCTCGAAGATCTCGACTGACCATCCAAAGCCTTTGTGCTGTGACTGCTGTGGCGCTAAATTCTTTAGAAGTGGGCTGAATCTGAAGGCTACGACTGCTGTTAATATTAAATACCCCAAGTATGTTGAGTGAAACCTTACAATGGCAACCAAGGGCATATGATACGTTTTCCTTTCCAATTGCCTCAATAATAGCATCGTAGGGTGTCACGGAGTAGTAAGGCTCAACCTCTGCACTCCCACCTCCACTCAGAGCAGGGTTCTTGACGTGATCGCCAATCAATCCGATTGTCTTCCCTTCTGGTCTTGTGATGGGGAGCACCTTGCGATCATTCTTTAGCAAGACGATGCTTTCAGCGACCAGTTGGCGAATCAGAGCCTGCTGCTCGGGTGTATTCGACGCCGCAAAATAGCCAGCCGGTTTCGTATCCTTCACTTTGTTGACCAAATTGAGAACATTCCGAACAGCGTCGTCAACTGTCGTACGCGCGACTTTGCGGCTGTTAACAGCTAGACTTAGACACTTGCCTCTCCATTGTGTGGGTCCGGGCATCTCCAGATCCAGCCCAGCGTTGATGGCTTCAGAGGTGCTGTAGGTACCGAACCAGTCGCTCATGACGAGTCCCTTGAAGCCCCATTCATCTCGAAGAACCTGCTTCAGGAGTAATGGGTCCTCGCTGACGTGAATCCCATTGATCTTATTGTAAGAAGTCATAAAAGTCCAAGGGTCTGAGTCGCGCATGACAAGTTGGAATGGCATGAGATGGATCTCCCTCAAGGTCCGCTGCGTCATGCAGACATTGTCTTCGATGGAGTTGTCCGACTGATCGTGCGCGGCATAATGCTTGACACTGGTTGCAACACCTCGTTCTTGCACGCCGTTGATGTAGGCTGCCCCGAGAATGCCGCTCAGAAAGGGATCTTCAGCGAACGCCTCGAATCCTCGTCCGAATAATGGTGAACGCTGGAGGCAGATGGTAGGTGCCAACAGCACATGCACCCCTCTGGCTCTTGCCTCCTCTCCAAGAAGATTGCCGACCTTGTGCAATAGTTCGGCGTTGAAAGTTGCACCCATACCAGTGGCAGAGGGCAGCATGGGGCTCGGGTTCTGTGGAAGAGATTCATTCATCAGTATCGGAGCCAAAGAAAGGCCAAATTTGAAGGCTTTTCATCGCCCAGAGCGATCAAGGACTTGGACCAACACGAGCAAAAGAACGACGTCCTCGGATGCCATGAGGACCGTCTGAGGTCTGCACGGGAGATTAGCAACATGCTCATCATCAGGTAGAGTGCCGGCTCACAATGAGATCTGGTATTTGGCGATGAGATAGACCGGTCGTTCGGAAAGATCCCTGCCCAGCAAGCAACTCGATCTTCTCGTCCCAGGTCAGTTGCTTGATCAGCGCCTCGACGTCGAGGGGGGTGAACTCAGCAGCCATCTCGACAATACTGATAATTCCTTGATCTGACGAAGCTCAAGTTATTTAAGTTAGGGGAATATGGAGAGCCCGGTGATCTCGGACAGCAATCAAGCTTCAAGTGGCCTTCCGGTCAATGTTATGCGGTGTCATCTGGGGATTCGGTCAGCACAGACCCGAGTCCGAAGCATAAAAACCGCCGAATTACTGTCCTTCCCCGTAGGATGTGCGGGCCGTCTCGGAGTATCGTCGGTAAACGCGACGGAGTCTCCTGTCACGCGTGAGCAAAACTTGCCTTGGTTCGATCACTTCGGTGCGTTCGGCGCATTTAGGCTAAACCCGCAGCAGCCGGAACCCTGTCCGGGGACTTCCGGAGTCCACGGGGCCCCGCAAATGCCACATCCGATCCAGTCCCGGGACCAGTCGCTGACTCCGCTCTGCGAAATGCGGAGATATATATCACCGGAGGAGCGATGATGGATTGGGATTCACGAAACGGCCGTACTTTATTCTATCCGTAATCCATGCGACATCAGAATCATAGTACGCAAAGGTCTTGTGACAAGCGCCTTCGCTCGGAGGAAAGCCGAGCGGTAAATGTAGACGACGAGCTCTTGTCCTTCCACATGATCTTTGAGCCAATACTAGACATCGTGTAGAGTAGCAAAATGACACCGCGAGACAAGGCAGGATCATGGTCGGGGAGCAAATGCGTTGCTTCCTTATTACGATAACGCCCGGCACGGTCAATAGGTATTGGCAGTTTGGTAACATCTGTCACCTACAGGCAGGAAGTGTCTCTAAAATGATAGACAGGTCTGGATCGAAACGTGAATTGCAGATGCATGGTGTTTGCTTCTTGGCCCTTCGATGTTGTTGTAATTCTGCGGATAGCTGCATCAGTTGAAACATCAACGCTGTTACGCAATTAGCAAGCAATCCTTTGTTACCTTTACAGTTTCCGAGGTTACCTTCATTGAATGATCACCTTCATGCCTCTCATCAATAAGTGCATAATTGTCTGCATGCCCTTTTACAACGAGTATTTCCCTTAGTCTTGCTTGTCTCTGCAAAGCGACTATCATCTTCACCGCCCTCAACGATCATACCACTCGGGGATGTCGGACTCATCTGATGGCGATGCCCTTTTCGACTCTAGCGACCAGTCTGGAACCGACTGTCAATCATATGCAGACACCCATGATGAATCCGACATGTCTACCCTGTTTGACTGGAACTTGGATAGTCCTCGCCATCATGTCCTGTCGGACCGCGTTTGCGTGGCTCCGATGGGCGGCGGACGTGAGCCTGATCGCAACATGAAGAAACAAAGGCGAAGAGACAAGACTCGTTTCCAGGAGCAAGCCAACCATTCAATAGCGGGACCATCGACTGCCAATATTCCTGAGCTTTATCTAGTCGACAGCCAAGGGAACTTCAAGAAGTATCGCCTCGTGCCGGCAGAAGTTGGAAAGACTCAAGCCATGGAAGACCCGAGACAAAATCTGGAATGCCTTGAAGATCTTCTTGGTGACAAGGAGAAATCGAGCCGACAACTCCAAGTTCCGAGGCGCAATATTCACCCACGTCATTTTGAAAGCTCCATTCTCTGCACGATTGACTCGATGGAAGATTCTTCCGAGATCAGAAATGTGGAATATGTCGTGTTCTTTTTTCTGATGGTGGTGATTATCATTATCACTGTGGTAGGCCTCTCGACCAGACCCCTCCCCCTACTTCCCTATCTGAACTCTACTCGTGATGCCACGGTGTTGCATACAAAATGTAGTATTCACTACCCAGGAATGAACAAATATTGATGGGATTTAATTGCAGATTACTGTTTTCTCTCTTCCATAGTCGTGTGCATTGTTGCTTGCGACGTTCTTTGGGGCATAGGAACCACGCGTCATGGTTTTTGGCAGCCACTCTACCACGTCACGTACCAAAAGCTTATGAAAGCAGAGACTGGAAATCATGGGCGATTGATGTTTAGATTTCAGCTGAAGGGTGTGTTGACTGTCTAATCGAAGCAATGCATATTGATAGCAAAATTCTCGTGGCATTCTACCACCAATACCAACATGACGCGGGTCTTTCATCCGCAAACCCGCTGCTCGTGTTCGACTTTTATCCCAGGGAATCGAAAGAAGGGTTAAAAGGTTCTCTGGCTCTACCTTAATCGCGGGGAGCGTAGGGGGCAGAAATCAGGCTTTCTCGGTGCGACACGAGAACAGCATGCGAGAACCCATGTTCATTTGCTTTGTCAATACACAGATCGTTGCATTTGGTACAACCATCAACCTGCTGGTGGTGTCTTATGTGCTACCACCCTTATAAAAACCCCGGAAACCATGGAAGTAGCGGCATTATACCTCCCCATCCCCTCGCCCCCAAACTTGTTCCTCGAGCACTCGATCCCATCATTCTGGCATCTGCATTGACCGCCAGTAAAATTCAAAGTCGACCACAGAGTTCAACGACCCAAAAGCAAAAATGTCGGATTCCTCTGACTCGGGAGACGAATCATGCTCGACTTTGTTGGACTGCCCACAAGATTTCGAACTACCTTCTGCTTCTTATGGAACGTTTCCCATCCAAAAGAATACATCATCGCAGAGACACAGTCAATCATTTAATCAAAGCTTGGCCGCAGGGCCTTGTATGAAGTCTCCGGAGCTCTACCTTGTGGATGCTGAAGGAACCACCCACAGATACAAATTACTTCCAGCAGATATTGAGGTGGGCCAGAGACCAACATCTACTTCCTCTACCGATAAGTCTTGCGAGATATCGGAAAGCACGGAGCTATGTGCTTGGGTGATGTTCGCTATTTTGGTCGTGGTGGGAATCGTATGTCTGACCTCTTCAGATCCTCGGCTGGGATGGTCGGCTTGATGTAAGTAAGTAGAGATCAATCAACCCCTCAGAAAAAAGTCCTCAAATACACTGTCTTCCCGATTGTCTGACTGCCTAATGCAAAAAAGCTCAGCCCCTAGAACAGGGAGCCTACGAAAGATCCGAGGAGACTCTTACCAGCCTTAGGTGTAACGATGCAAGGATTTTCACAAGAATAATACGGGACTCAAACCCGGGACCTATGCGTGCGGAGCTATTCATTCAATTCGATGACATTCTCCGCTACGACACAGGCCTTGGTGACAGAATGAAGCATTTTTATTCATCATGTAGGCATCAAGGCTGGGTGCAGGTGGAATACACAGAAAAAACCTACTAAGGAAGGAAGGCCCACTCTCGTGCACCTTCTATACCAAAAACAGTGAACGTAAGGTCTCATATATATGTCCATTTTGTCAAAAGTAGATCTACAGCTCTTTCGTACCCGAGATCTGAGTCGACTTATCGTTGCCTCCATTGACTGGAGCTTCCGATTCAGCGACTTTGGCGTTCTCCTCGTCCGACAGACCTTGGGCACTGATAGCTGGCTCATATCCGTACTCTGCCATCTGTGGATGCCGCCTATCCCACCACAACATACCAAGCTGGGTCAGAATTGTAGCCACGGTGAACGCAGTTGTAAGAGGGAATCCGATAGGGTATCTCGGAGCGTCTGCGACGCGGAACGCCCCCAGGGGTATAGTCGCATGGCCAATGTAGACGACTGTGACAGTCAAAGCCACGATAATGGAACGCGCCTCGGGCTCCTTTCGGAGTATCTCAGCCATCCATGCTATGAGCGATGGGCCACCGGCGTTGGTGCCATACGTGAGGAAGTAAAACGCAAGGATGACTTTGTGATCAGACGGCCACCCACATAAGACTGCTAGACAGATGCCGTGAGCTGCGGCAGAGAAAATGCTTATCTGCCAACGCCAACGCTTCCAGTCGGAAAGCCAGTTGAGACCAATGTTGGTGACAATTTGCAAGGCGTACCCACCCAACGGTAGGATGTTGACCTGGTACGTGTCATAAACCCGGTTGCCGGCTGAGTCTTTGATGCTTTCAAGGTACAGGACAAAGTAGGAATTCGCCCTATGAGCCCAAGCCCCAAAGGCAAAAGAGAGGAGGTAGAAGTACGTGATTGGATGAACGATAAGTTTTCGCAGCTTCTGGCGGAGTACGGATGCCGGAATGCGCTTGGATGTGTTGACGCCAGAGTTTCCCATTCTCTCACGAGCCAGGCGCTTTTCGTTCTCGGTGAGGTAGATGGCGCGTGTATTCGCTGGCGAATCGGGCACGGTGACGAAGGCTATGAGGCCCTGCCCCACTGTGACGGAGCCGGCGATGATGAACAGCCACTGCCAGCCGGCGAGGCCATGAACACCGTTCATGTCGCGAAACAGAGCGGCTTGCAGAGCACCAAGGAACATCGCGCCGGCAACGTCACAGACTGTGAAGCAGGCGACTCGGACGGCGAGCTCGGTGGGGGTGTACCAGTTGAATATGAGGGCGACAACGCTTGGCCAGAAGGCAGATGAAAACAGTCCGAGAAAGAAACGGAGTCCGAAGATCGTTTGCGCATTCGGGGCTTTGTATGTGCTGCGCTAGTGGTGAGATGGCGTTCGATAAGAAAGATGTCGGAGACTTACAAGAGTACCAGCAGTCCCCAACTCATCTCACAGAATGGAAGGAACATTGAGGGGCGGAATCTTGTCTGTATCAACTGGCCAGGTACCAAACCCAGAGCATACCCAATTGAGAAAAAGGTATTGAATTCGACAAGCTCATTGCCGTATAGGCTGAGGGACTCTCTCATGCCCGAGACGTAGGCTTGGGTTGTTGCAGACTGATCCATTTCCTTCATGATGCCTGCCAGGAACATCCATGCAAGCAGCATGACGTCTAGTTTAAAAACTAGGACATTTCTAGGGTCGCGGAAGTACGGAACGATCTTTGAGATGTGCTTAAAGATGCCTTCTTGTGGGGGGCCATAGTTGATGGGTTCCTCGGTCCCAGGCCGGGGTGTCGACAAAGTCACTGATGTGGGTTCACCCATTGTGGCTTCAGTGACATTTACCAGCAAGCAAAGACTGAAGACCGGCGAAATGCGAGAGGGTGGAAATGACCTCGTGAGCGAGATCAGAAAATCCCTTCTGGTAAAAGACGAGGTGTTGCTTCATGACTATATAAAGAGCCATCTCGGTTGTATTAGCTAAAGGAAACCATCATTACGATTCAAGTCATCAAGGAAAAGTTGGGCGAACTCTTCCGAATGAAGTGATTTTAGATGTCGCGATCCAAAAAGATTGCCATCCCGCGCCCAGGTTGCAGGTGTTTGAAGACGCCAAAGTCTGGGCAAAACCCACCAGGTGTCGGGCGAACGTTGCATTTCTCGCCTCCCACCGCACTCTCAGTCCAATCACCGACGGTAACGGAGGCCGCGATGGTGAGAGCGGGCGAGAGACCAGGGGGTTCCGTCGGGGTTGGGTCCAGATAAGCCCCTGCCATTCTGCTATTGCGTGACCAGAGATCCAGACTGCGACATCTCCCACCCGTGCTTAGTGCCCGAAAGACGGTCGATGTGTAACCCGCTTTTGGTAATTTCTGTCGGGATAGCGGCGACGGTGCGGTCGTGTGGGTTACAAGAGGCTATTTATTAGACCCTGGCGATCCTTAAAACTCACTGGCCCTCTGACGACAGCAGTTGAAAGTTCTTGGTGGATAAGGTAGCCAAATCATTTAAATGGTGAGGAGCAATATTTCGCTTGCCAGGCCTTATGTTTTACTCGCAAACAAGTTCGGTTTACGATCTATCCCAGCTAGGTGCGCTCGTAGGCTTCATCCTATGCCAAGGCTTTCTCTTCAGTTAGCAGCATTGCGATTGACACGAAGAAGAATCGTCAAAGCAGGGGCGCAATGTCAGCAAATCATCAACATTATTGAGCCTACAATGCATTCAATTTCTTGTTGTTCTTATATGTCTATGTGCTACGTCTTCACGTTTCAAAGCATTTCGGGCTGAGGAGAATGCTTCCACGGAATTGTCAAGCATACCCAGCTGTACCAGCGCATGGGAGACTGGAGCTGTCAAGTTCTTGTGAGTGCATATGAGGTGGACTACTAATACCTTAGAACTTGGAGAACTGGAATATTCTCTGCTTGAATTAGGAGACGGGTTTGATGTTCTCTTCCATGAACTCTGATTGTGTGATAGACATTTAGCCAAAGCTTTGATCTGAAATGACAATACGCGAGCTTTTATTTCATAACTTCAATTTATCAATAGCACTGTTCGGACCTAGGAAACCCGGCTTTTCCGGCGAGGCCTGAGCGAAGGGAGAGAGAAGACACGCATCGGTGTTCCAGAGTGGTACGAGTTTGCTCTGTGGAGGCGTCCATATTCGTTTTGGCAACTGGCGCTAGTCTCAGGCCCACGCGGTCGATTCGAGCCAGTGACCCTTGGCTAAGACATTGGACATCCCAGCGCCGCTGATGTATCACAGAACGTAAACAAAAAAAAATGACCATGTAATTCATGGGAGAGAAAAGACACGATCAAGACCATTTGCCTATTACAAGCTCAACCTCTCGAGCCGAGCTTTATTTCGTTGGGGATATCGTGCCCTGGCTGAAGTGAAAATGAGAATTCTCAAGGCTCAGCTTGACGCGTGCATCGAGCTGCATCGAGCTGTGAGGGCAATTTTGAGAAAAAGCAAAGACGTTCACGGAAACACGGCTTGCGTAATTCCTTTTGGTTGTCACCAAGCTAGGGAAGTGTTCACTCGTGCCGCCACAGCAGAATTCTGTCAAATCTCCAACGCCTTTCCGCAAAGTCAACGTGCTTATTCGCACATCACCTGTCAATATCACAGCTAGCGCGAGTTGGCGACTAAGAAATGCCCCCCACCGTCAACACTATTCGCCGTTGACTAGCTTGACTTGCAAGCTGACCATGCGCACCAGAGACACTTGTCTCTTGATTGCCTCGTACAAGAGCCGGAATTCCCGAGCAGGCGCATGTTCTGTGCAAGGGGCACGTGGGAATACACCAACCGTTCTTCGCTTGAAATATGCAGCACGCCTTCGCATCGTTGCACACGTGTGATTCGAAAGGTAATCAATCTCCAGTCACCGTTCATCGACCTCTCCATCTCAGCCGTCCAATGTGAAGCTAAGGACGGATCTCCGCCCTCAACTGCTTCAACGTCAACTGTCCCTCGACGTTTGCAACCCGCCCGAACAGTATACAGTGATCAGATGGCACTCAGTGACTGGCCTGGGCATTCGGCTCTTGTTGAAGATGGCAAGAAGCGGGAGCTGGCGCCTCCAGACATTGCGGTAGTCGATCGAGCCGACAACAGGCCTTCCGGTACATACGTAGCGATTCCCATTTCGACGGAGCCCAGGGCATCCCGGAGCAAACGATCATGGCTTCGACGATATTGGATTTTTGTGCTCGCGATGGCCATCCTCATCGTTGGTGGCATCATTGCTGGTGCCGTTGGGGGTATCACTGCTTCTCATCAGGCAGAACAGAGGGGTTCCGCCTGAGCTTGTGATGAACAAGAGAAATTTTTGACTCGATGTCCAGAAAGACGATCTATGTAAGTCATTCGAATGAATCGCTCAGCCTATGGTGTCGTGTCTGGAATGACAAAGTGACTGACAGTGTTGTTGGTGTCAAAGACATGTATTTCATTCGATACCCCGAACCCCAGCGATTTTTTAACAGCATCTTTCGAAGTGGCCTATCAATTCAGAGCCGCCTGCATTTCGATAATTTATTTGAAGCGGATTGATCTTCGGCTGCCGGACGAGCCCGACTGCCGGACGGAGAAACCCAGGCATGATGTGGAAGTGGCCCCGGAGAGACAGTTTGGTTGTCTAGTGTCTCACTAGGCACAGAGTACCTAGTCCTGAGTTGATACGGCAATGGTGACTGGGACGCTATAGAGGACGAAAAGTATCGAAGACGATAATGGGCTGCTCCGGACGAAAGGAGATTGAGACATCATAGGAGGCAATCTTGCTCCGGGAACTTGCAAGCTGTTCATGACCCTACGGGCGAGGCATCTCGCGACGATTGGACGGGCCGGGACACTGCCCCGTGTCCGTCTCGGGATCGCATTGCTAGGAGATGACCAGTCGACATGTCGTTGCACAGACCCAGTAAACTCGGCACTATGCCGATGCAGGTCTATGGCCGCCACATACCCGAGGTAGCGCCAATGAAACCCAAATAGAGTCCAAGTGGTATCCGTAGGCAGCAGAAGAACTGCTCCTGGGCGGCTCCTGAGCGGCTCTTCTGATCAATCCGCCAATGTGAAGAGAAGTAATACTAACGACCAATCCCAAGTGATGTAAAGGCAATGTCAGCGTCAGTAGATGGGTCTATGTCAGTCTGGTGTCACATGGGGTTTCAAGCCGGATGGATCCATGGCTTCGGACGACCGGCGGACGAGATAACAGATCTCAAGAATGGGAATCATCCTTGACGGGGTTGAGATGACGGATAGGAATTGCATCCGTGATTGATAATTTTTGGACTAGATTTACAGCACATCCCTGGGGAGGTGCCCGATGGAGGTCATCGACAACTCACCGAGGCCCCATTTTGGCGCTTAGAAGCAGAGGCGGCCGCCCTTGATGCGGGGAATTCTGGGGAAATAGTGTGAATGACCCGCGGGCCGGCCGCAAGGATCTGGGCCGGTGAACTCTATTCTGACTTGGCAAGGGGTGAGGTTTCGGTAGTTACATTTTGCCCATTGTTGAGATCAATGGCCATCGTTCTACTATTGCCTTATGAAATGTATCGTCTGATCATTCTTAGTATAAGATATAGCTGGAAGATGCCGGTTACAAATGCCTTTAGCAATACTGTCCTCGACAGCAAACAAGACTTCACACACCACTATTCCCTCGACTACACAAAGCAATGGCTCCTGGTCGAACAGACGACGAGGCGGCTGAGGTCGCCACCTCGTCCAAGACACATGCAATTTCGAATTATGGCCTGGCTACGAAGTGGCCGGAGGCCTACGATCTCGCCGGATCGAACTTACCTTGCCGTCTAGAAGGTGAAATTGGCGACCTAGTAGTCCTGGGAGAAATCCCAAAGGAGATCGACGGCACATTCTACCGAGTCATGACAGACCCCTTTGTGCCGCCCCATCCTAACAACGTTCCCCTTGACGGCGACGGCAACATTTCAGCATTCCGTATTAAAGATGGGAGAGTCGATATGAAGATGCGCTACGTCGAAACCGAGCGTTACAAGCTCGAGCGCAAGGCCAACAAGGCCCTATTCGGTCTCTATCGCAATCCCTTCACCCATCACCCTTGCGTTCGTGCCGCAGTGGATTCCACCGCCAACACCAACGTCGTGTTATGGGCCGATCATTTTCTCGCCCTGAAAGAAGGAGGCCTGCCCTACTCAGTTGACCCACAGACCTTGGAGACCATCAAATACGATCCTTTTGGACAAATCAAAGCAAAGACATTTACAGCTCACCCCAAGATCGATCCCTACACGAATGAGCTAGTCGTATTTGGATATGAGGCGAGAGGCCTTGCGTCGCTGGACATTGTCATATACGCACTGGACAGTAACGGCGTAAAGCACGACGAGCAATGGATCAAGTCACCGTGGTGCGCACCAATCCACGACTGTGCCATCACGCCAAACTGGATCATCTTGGCACTTTGGCCATTCGAAGCCAGCGTGGATCGCATGAAGAAGGGAGGGCACCACTGGGCCTGGGACTATGATCTTCCTGCTACCTTCATCGTAGCCCCCCGTCGAAGTTCGACCAAGCTTCCGCCTGGCTGGGAGCCGGGCGAGAGTAGGGTGTACTCGTGGAAGAACTGCATGCTCATTCACACGGGTGGTGCGTGGGAGAGCGAGGACGGAGAGACTTTGTTCATGGAGACGACTCGTGTGCATGACAATGGCTTCCCATTCTTCCCTACAAACGAAGGAGTGTATCCGGCCCCTGATCCCAAGTCCGACTACGTTCGTTGGACATTTGATCTCGCCCAGCCCACGAACAGCACGGTCCCAGACCCGGAGATTATTCTCGACATGCCTGCAGAGTTCCCTCGGCTTGATGAGCGTTTCCTGTCGAAGTCATATAACTACGTCTGGATCAACGTCTACATTCACGAAGACCAGAACGGTGATGGTCATACTATTGTCGAAGGGCTAAACGGTCTGGCGATGCACAACTCAAAGACGAAGGAAACTAAGTGCTTCAATGCCGGGCCTGAGTCGTTCTGTCAGGAGCCGATCTTCATACCACGGAGCGATGATGCGCCGGAGGGAGACGGATGGGTCATGACCATGGTTGAGCGCAGAGGTGCTAACAGAAACGAGATTGTGGTGCTGGATACGAAGGACTTTGAAAATCCCATTGCTGTCATCCAGTTACCCTTCCATGTGAAGGCACAGGTCCATGGAAACTGGGTTGATCAGCGCCGGTTGAAGGCGTGGCAAAAGCTGGCGAGGGATGCGGTGCCTGAACCCATTAGTGGGCAAGGAGCACTGGAGCCATTGTGAAAGTAGCTATTATTTCTATGTTTACCACCAAATCCCCTCTGAAACATGGAGTTTCGATGAATTTTCAGCTGTGCTGTTTGTCTTGGAAGTTTTGAGGCGAATGAAGCTATACCGATGGTTATGACAGATGCCTCCAAGAACTTTTATGGGGGTTTGACCAACATTTCTATCTTCGTCTTCATACTGACTCAGTTAGACTCCAGACGAGGAGTCTAACCAGTGCCGCAGTAATCAGCGTACTGCTTGGAACTAGATTCCGGGTTTCCCCACCACTGCAATGTTGTCAGATGAAACTGTAGACTTAGTTTCAATTCATTGATAATACTCACCGTGGGAAATGGCACCTCTTTCCCTGAACCGCCAGCAACGGCAAAGGTCAAGATGAACATCATGACCTTGGCACCTGCATCGAGACCACCGCCGACGATGTAGTTGTATTTGCCGAACCAAGCAGGATGACGCAATCGCATGTACCATTGAGACCACAAGCCGACTACTACCTGAGACCAGATGACAGAAGTGGTTCCAGATGTTGTCTCCGAGGCATTGTGGAATACGACCGGGGTGACGAGCTTGCTTACTTCCCAGCCGTAGATTGTCTTGTACTTCTTGGATATAAGCCACAAGACAACGGGGATGGCAGCCCCGACAACTATGGAGAGAGGAATCCTGCGAGCAGCTATGAGAAGATTTCAAAGCACAGAAAGTGGTGATGAGATACTTACCAGCCATAACCATCTTTGCCGAATCCATATACATACTTGGCGAGCGACCAGGTGACCGCAGTCGTGTTAAGAGATTGAATTTTGCGTCCGCTCCACTGGCTTTGGGTTAGACCTGAGTTCTAGGGTGGGATCAAGACGAACTCACAACTTGGGTTCCGATAGGGTCAAGGAGGATTTCTCGGCGATTTGCTACAATTGTGTCCATTATAACGTAGTTCAAAGCTGTCCCAAACAGACTTCCCCAAGTTTGCAGGATGAACATGGTTCTCCACGGAATCTTGAGATATTGGGCCATCTTGAGGTCAGTTGACAAGAATACAGAGAGGACGGTAACCTCATGACTGAACATCGAGAAGTATAGATTGGCGACAGGTTTTCCAGGTTGAAGTACGCCGCACAGCATCTTCGAAAGGTTGTTTGTGGCGACGCTAGTGCCCAGCAGACCGTACAAGCATAGCGAGAAGGGCGCGACAATGCATCCCAGAAGCTATGCGAATGATGGAGAGTTACAATAAGTCAGGCTTTGAAGGTACAGTAGACTTACAATGGCGCAAACGTACGCCCAGGCATCAAGCGTGGTGTGGCCCTTGATTACGGCTCCAAGGCCAGTGAAGAAGCCGACGAGAAGGATAGCGATATACCACCAGATCGGCACGTCTTTGTAGTTTTCTTGCATAATCTTGTAGTGAATATCTGTCTCTTCCTTCTTCCAGGCTTGTTTCAGAGACCGCTTGATGCTGCTAGAGTCAGAAAGGGAACAATACAAAACTGATTAGGTCATGGAAAGTGGACTTACAGTGGCCCGTAAAACAGAGCAATATGAGTCAGTAGCGCTCCTATAGCAGCCATCGCGGCCATGTTCGCCCAGACGTTGGACGCCGTCAATCGAGGGAGCCCATGTACCTCCAACGCCTCGGTATCGAGGATCGCGTTTTGCCCAAACACAGCCGTCTGGTTGTAGACCTTGCCAGTCTTCCCGTCAAACATGGCCGTCGACATGAAAGGGAACTTCTTGGCACCCCACGCCCCGCCGTAGTAGAGACTGAAGCACATGATGTAAGAGAGGACAATGCCCACCCAGGAGTTGGCTTGTTGCAGGAGCGGCAGGGACATATACCGTGACGTGATGTACTGCCAGTCCAGGGAGAAATTGAAGATTCCCTGGCCCTCGTTGGAGTTGATACCGCCAAAGATGGTCATTAGGACCTTCCGAGTCGGTGGCGCGGCCTTCATAGAGGCGAGACAGGGAATGGAGATGCCGTTCAGCCAGGGCCAGACGTAGGATACTATGGGCTCCCATATAAACATTCCAATGGAGGTGAAGCCAAACACTCGAAGCCTGTCTTTGTTGTTGCCTTCGGGCTCGCGGTGGAGAGTCTGATAGATGGAGATCATGGGTAGGCATTGCCACCAGACCATCTCACTCGCTGCCTTGAGTCAGAACATATTCTCATCTCTGATAACCGGCAAGTATCCCAAATTATGACTGACGATGAACGATGATGGATCTCAGGACTCCAACGAGACCATATCCGAAGATTGATGCCGAGAAAACTGTCAAAATTGCAGTGGCGGGGTCGGTGCTGCGGTTGTAGAACCTAGTTATCGTTTAGAAGCAAGCTTTCACGTTGAAGGATAGATTCCGACTCACAGCCGTTCTGCCCCAAACACCTGCACGATTGCAGCGCCATTTCCGCTTGATGTGGAAAGGATCGATGCGACGGCATGTTCCTTCAACCCAAAATGGCCTGGGTTGATGAAGTGGACGACTGGACCAAGCCATTTTGCCTGGGATGGGAGGTACTTTTCAACATGCTGCCGTCGAGGAAGCACAATTGACCAAGCAACTCCGATCACATATGCCATCAAGCACAGGAACCTGGTACAACATGTCAACACGATGTCTTGGACCTTGATCAAGCGGGATATGAAGCTTACACCGAAGCAAATGAGACATCAACGGGCTTGTAGAAGTAACTGTGCATAGTTTTGTCAGTGCGAGACATCAGGAAACGACATGGTTTCTTTTCACATTTGATTGATGCAAGCCGCGAGGGCAGTCAGGCCTGTGTAAAGTTAGCTCGCCAAAGCTTCAGTCATTTGCAGTCCTTACGCCGTGAACAACCATACCAGAACCAATGATGAACGATCGAAAGGTGCAAGACGCATCTCCATCGTCTTGGGTACTGACGACGTATCTCGCGACATCGTTGCCTGCGGAAATCAGCTGACGTTCAGGGCCAAATACTTCGGCCAAAGGTTTTGTGGCTTTCCATACCATCCCTGATAACAACACCACCTTTGACGAGCTTTCTCTCGTCATCTGACTCATTCCGCTCAGGATCCGTCGTCTTCAGGCCGTCGTCTGACTTGTCATACTCCAGAATCAGGGGTACATCATTCGAAGCGCCGGCTGCTGCCGAAGGGATATCTGCATCCAACGCAGTGGCAGTGATAACCGTGCTGTCTTTGGAAACCTTCGTGCTCTTCCCAAAGTCTGTCATTTTGACGGAAGCGGGGGATGTCCTCGCGAAAGGGAGGTTCCGTGGAGGTTCTCGCACCGCATAGGCTTCTCTCAGTCCCTTATATCACCCGTGCAAGGTTATCTGACTGTACGCTACCCAGGCCCGCAAATCCTCTCTTATCACGTCAACGGGGCCAGCTTCTTAATTCCGGCAAAAGCCCACCGACTTAACGCAGCCAAGCATTCGGTAACGGTCAAGGTAAAGTCATGGTCCGATCGCCGTCCCAAACCTGCGGTGCCTCGTTGTGATCGTCCGAGTGCGGACGTTGGTTTTACGCAATGTCGGACTGCTGCCGACACATGGCAAGAACTCTCGGCGGCTAAATTGAATGCCGTACCCAAAATTCTTTTTCGGTTTTTGGATGACGCGAGATCCGCCCGGCCAGTCGCCATCGTGCCTTGCCCCACAGAGCCCGGTTCGGCTCCGACTTGTCGGGGTTGCCCTGTGTTCAGAAGGACGCCAAGGAGTTGTCAAAACGTTTCCTGAGTAATGTACGAATATCCAATGGACCTCAAACCTGACTTACCTGAACATTTTCTTGGCGCGTCTATCGACTATTTTCGGCCGAGAGCACACATGATCATTCGGATCCGGGACAATGCCGATTACCGGCGGTGCTTTGAGGTGGATCTTCCCGCTTCGGTGCTCCGGGAAGAGACAGGTAATGTCCTCAAGTCCTTTTTACGGACCAAAGATCAAACTCAGTCTTCACTGCAACGATGGCGTTTCTCTCAGGAACCATACCATGGCAGATCTATGCTGCTTAGGCGACGGGAAGCTTGGACGGCTTGTTTGTGTAGTTTCTAAGGGACTACAGAACGAGGTAGGGAGAACGCCGCTTTCATCAATGCCGTTGCCAAGAGGCTTGCGGCTCTTTGCGGCTTGAAGGGAAGGTTGTGAGTGTCAACCTGCTTGGTCATCCGTTTGTTCGTAAGAAGTCTACGATCCACCGCATGATCGGAACTTCAACGTCATCAGAATACCGCATTCCCCATTGCAATATCCAACTTGGCCGTTCAGGGTTACACATACTTTTGCATATGGAACGTGGACTGATGTCACAAGGACGGGTGCTACATTTTCTCTTCCGTCATCGGGCAAGGAGTGACAATAATGATTCATGAACATATTTTTTATGCAGGTGAATACCCATCGCCAGAAGATATCCAAGCCAGTTTCGTTTCAAGCATTTACCACTGAGAAAAGGCCTGATCCTGGGATTTCTAGTGTTGTTCCAAGGTTGGTGTGAGAGGGCCCTGCTCTAGTGAGAATGTCACTGTTACTTATCATTTTGCGTAAGAGCACTTGGGATGGTGGCCCTTTGCTCGTCAATCTACAGTATGTTCAGAATTTGACGTAGAGCAAAGAATGGGCGGTTAGTATGCACCCATCAGTCATTTCCCCGATCATCAAAGAATATGATAGGTGTTGTTCGGGTTCCCTTGCCGGATACAACATGATTTAAACCCTACCTTCGGGGCTTTCCCTCAGGAAAATGTTTCCTGCAGACCACCTCCAGTCCATACCGAAAGTTTCTTCTGTCTATCCAGATTCTTGTCCTTAATTTCTTCTGTCACATAATCCGCTCACTGGTACCTGCTCTCACCGTTGCGATGATCTTCCCCTCCATCCTCCTCGCCATATTCTTGATGGCCTGCGAGACCATCGCAGCACCATACGAGTCCTCTACGGCGCTCGAAACCATCCAAGGCAGAACAAAGAAGAAGATACCAGCAAACTTCAAGGCTTCTTGCTCAGACGTCCGCTTCTTCGACCCGAGAGTCCTTGTAGAAGAGGGTAGCAAGAAGAAGGATTCGACCCCCTATCTCGTGGCCAAGTGCGGCGATGGCAAGGGAGGCCAAAAGTGCTCTTGGATGCCCCTGACCGCCTGTTTCGCGAATGCCTACGGTGAGATCGTCTACCGGAGATAGTAAGAAGCTTTCTGTCTCCTTTGTCCAACTTGTTTGCTGGGCACGGTGGTTCGTTCGACTAACTTTTCGCAAAGCGGTGCATTCTTCAAGTCCTGCCTGGATTGCAAGTATGAGAACGTTAGCGCAAACATGAATTGCAATTGCCAGGGTCCCAAGGGTTCGGTACAGGCCAGCATCAACTTGAGTAAGTTCTCACTCTCGAGTTCTGTCTACTGTTTGTGGGGTCCGGACCATTCGCTCAACTATCGGGAAAACAGATGAGTGGATGGACAACAGGGGAGGACAGCTAGGCTGCCACAGATTTGGAGGGAATGTCATTGATTGTACAGAGCATGAGATGATGGCAATCCGATTCCATACAGCTCCCGATGTCATTCCAGATGAGCCGGAATGGGCTTTCGAGGGCGGCTTGTGAGCAAGCATGGCTGAACCTTTGTTGGGGCCATTTATCGAGCTTGGGTATACTGGTGAACAGGTCGTTCTTTTATGTCTTTGTTTATGAAAGGGAGCATGTACGACGTGACTGGAGTATCGTGTTCCGGCAGCTGTTGTCTTGGAAGCCCTCGTGGTTCTGAGGATGGTAGTACTCACCCAAATATCATTCAATTGTTCATGTCATATCGACCTCGTGACCAACAACATCGAGGCAGCCAACCATATCAAGATCACACGAGCTAATCGAGTGAATTGAACCGAAGCTTAGAAGGCCGTGCCTGTGATCTGCTGGGCCTCATTCACCACGTCGGAGCCTTATCGAGACTCTGATATATAACAGCTGCTGCCTCCATCATGGACTCGGTTTCTTGCCTGACTTGAAAAGAGGCCAGAGCCGACCCACGAAAGTGCACTTTCACCCTAGCTGTGTATTTCGTTCTGACAAGCAAGAGAATCAACACCACGATGAAGTGCTTCGTAGTACTCCTCGCTGCCACGACCTTGGCAACGGCAACCCCGGCCGACCTCGAAAAGTTGAAGAATGACGACAACTTCCTCCACAACTGTGACTTTGTCAACTTCAGTCTCGGCGACAATAACCAGAACCCTTGGATCCACTACTCGTGCCCCTTGAACAAACCACCCTACATGCAATGTTCCCGCTTGGAACTCAATGACTGCATCATCAACGATCACGGAGTCCTGCGTGGACAAGAAAAGTAAGACCCAAAGGAAAATCGTGGCATGAGACCATTGGCGCTAATCACGGTGCCACAGGGGAGGGTTCGCCAAAAGCTGCAAGGACTGCGTCTACCTTCACGAGATTGGCAACCTCGTTTGCCAGTGCGCATTCGGAAACCCAACCCAGTTCCGCGAGACCCATAGATATCTTGGTGAGTACAGCCGGAAGAGCATGAAGCTATGCTATGCCGTCCTTATGCTCTTTCTGCTAACGCATGAAAATAGATCAGGATGTGTGGCTCTCTGGCAGTAAGCTGGGTTGCTTCGGAATGAAGTCTAGCAGCAAATGTTGAGTGGGGCTCAGCAGTCCAAGGTTCACGAGCGTTGTGCCAATTTGAGAGAAAGCATGGAAGGCCGTCGAGACTTTCGTTAGGTAGCTCTGCGGTAGAATTACCTCTTGGTCAGTTTGTGTGACTGAGCTTCGCACGTAGAAAGCTCCGAGTCCTTGCTCATGCTGATCCGCAAGCTAAGGTATTCAGAATGTGATGCCCGTAGAACATGGTACCTTAGCCTTCGATGGAACATCGAAGAGTGGAACCGTCAATTCGGAATGGAAAGGAGACAGGCGGGTCAATTTCAATTAAATCCACTTAAACTTCAGGACTTTGACGCGTCGACGCGTTGGCGAGATTCCAAGAAGAATGGCCAGGGCACAGAAATTCTACTAAGCGAGCTGAGGGGTCGTCATGCACTTAAACGATGGCGGTGAGGGCTCCACACAATACGCCTACAAAAATCTGTTCGTGCCTCTTTCCCTCCCTCAATCTTCCACTTTCATCCTTACGGGTTTTCCTTTTCTGCCTACTGCGGCACCTTAAAAGCAGTACCCCGAGCACATTTCGAGAAAGGCGCTGTTCGGCCCGCTTGAAAAAGCAGCCATGGGCGCGGTTCATCTCTACCTCATCCGTCATGGCGAATCCGTCGATAACGTCGCGAACCTTTAGTACGCATTTCCCACACCGCCACAGTACCACTTTTTGTGCGCTTGCCGGATTCTAGTCTGGGTCGCAGCTTTCTTTCTCGTCTTTCCAGCGAAAAGTCAAACTTGTCACCCATTCTAACTAGCAGCGCGCTCTTTGTGGGCGTGGCGCGTGTTTGCAGTGCTGGGTCTCGCGACGCACCTTTGACGAACCATGGCGTCTTGCAAGCCAAGCGCCTGGGTGAACATCTCGCGACACGAACTGCTGAGGCTTCGGCCCCCATCACGCACGTCTTTTCGTCGAATCTTCAAAGAGCCTACCGTACTGCGATGCTAGCATGCCACACGAGCGATGCCGATGCCCAGGCATCGTCCAGTACCGACGTAGGGTCCATACCCTCAACGGTTGGAGTGGCCCCGCTGCAGTTAGCAGAGCTTCGGGAGAAACACTTTGGAACAGGCGAGGGTCAGAGGTTCGGCGCCCGGTCGTCTGGAGAGAGACATGAAGGCGCCGAAGACCACGACTCGATGCGCGTGCGTGCGGAGCGGTTCGTTAACGAGTACCTCGCTCCCCTCTTCGCTTGCGTCGAAGGAGAGCGAGATGAAGAGCAAGAGGGCGCCAGCAGCGGCACTGAGAGCATCATCATTGTCGCCCATGGCATCATCCTCGGCGTGCTGGCGAGGGTTCTCCTTGCCGCTGGCAATTTTGGGTCTCTGGCAACCGGCACGTCGGACCAGCAACAGCGCTTTTCGTGGAGCAACACCGGCTATCTCTTGATTCACATCAAGTCGATGCCGGCAGTCGATGCGAAAGAGCCTGCTGGTCTGCGAAGCGGTACGCAGGAACCCAAATGGCCCCATCTGAAGCTCGAAATTGTGGAAGTCAACTGCATCGAACACCTTCGCGGGTTGAAAAAGACTCGCGGAGGGATCGGCAGCGCAAAGTTTGACGAGAAGCAGAAGACGCTCAGCGCGTTCTTCAAACCGACTGCATCCAAACGGAAGCATGAGGACAGTTGATGGACAGAGTTCGCTGTCCCATGGGGGTTTACTTACTCGCCCGTCCTATCGTCGTCGGTCAACAAATGGTATGTTTAACAATTTTCATTTCGTCACCAACACCTTTGAGGTGCGCTTTTCATGATGAGGCAAGAAATTCACAGACCTGTACCGAAAGTATACGTGTGGAAACAACTTCAGTCCAACCGCTGTCTGACATTCAAGCGCTATTCACCTTCATTTGTGACTGGATTATTTTGAAGAGCCTTGGCTAACATCAAAAAGCCTTCACAGAGCACCAGGCGCCCGACACAAACCCCCACTTGAATCATCAAGAGCCTCTCCAGAGCAAAACACGCTCAGAGGAAACCAATCTACCTGAACCACGGCACTGAACTTGCGACGCCTTGCGCTCGCTGTTGTCGGTGGCCCTGTGTCTTTTGGAGGCGGGATTCTGGTCTACCAGTCAGGCGCACCGAAGACACAGGGCCGAAATAAACACATGTCAGAAGCAACCTGTCTACAAGCAAAGCGAACAAACGTCAGATGCCCACTGCCTATAATCAAAGCGTAACATGACCATCCTGATGAGTGCTGGAGGGTTCGAACCCCTCATCCCGTGGCCAGGGGGGCCGGTACTCATCAGTCACCTCGGCGGGCTTTTCAACAAGGGCTTTGCTTCAGGGTGTAAATACTAAACTCTTTTCACGGGAATTACCACTTGCTTGAAGTTTTTGAAACACGTAATGGGTTGATTATGGATGCGGGTGGCGTAGGAGAGGAAGAGTTTTGAAGTCTAGATAGGTACTCCATGTCTAAAATGAATAGAAACAGCAGTAATCAACGTAAGAGCCAACTTTTGTGGTCTTCATTGTGAATTTGTATTGGGAGTCTAGTTCCATGCAGCCATAATTGCCGATATAATGGGATCCTACCCCCCAACTGTGAATGCCATGCCAATACAATCATCCAGTCATTATTCATACAAAACAAACCACTCCTGACCTATTCCTAACCTATACATCCGTACTCCATTCATCCGTCTCCGTGAAGATCTTGTAAATCCTCTTACTCACAGCCTTCCCAACCGCCCGGTCCGAAAACCCACCGTCCTTATTCGTACTCTTGCGACAATTCTCCAGACAAAGCGGCCCTCGCTCCTCAAACGCCTTAACCAGCTCCCCGACCGTCTCAAACTCGGACACGATGCCGTACGCCACGGGCTGCGTGACGCGCACAATCTCCTGCAGCATCCGCACGTAGGTATCCTTGACGTCCTCGCCCGTGCGGACCTGGCCCGTCTCCATGCAGAAGCCGGCGCCCGCGGCGTTGGTCGCCTCGCGCTGCTTCCGGTACGGCACCGTCGAGATGTGCTGCGTAAAGACGGCGACCCACTGCGCCGTCTCGACGGCCGCGGCGGTGTGGTGGATCAGCACGTCGTACATGACCTGCAGCTGGAGCAGGGCGTCTTCGACCGAGTCTTCGTCAATGTACTCCTGCGGCTGCTGGTTCTTGCGCCGCCGCGGGTGAGGGGCGGGAGCGGCGGCGCTCGTCGAGGCCTGGGCATCTCCTGCTGTTGTAGCATCTTCGCCGCGCACGGCAGATGCAAATTGTCGGTTCCGAATGTTGCGGTTCTTTCTCATCCAAGGGTTAAGGCCTTCGATCAGATAGATGAGCTGTTCCTGTGGGAAATGTTGCTTCATCTTGGAGACGTGGGCCTCGAGGTTGTTACCCTCGGGTCCCAGGGCGTATGTGACAAATTCAGACGCAGTGACAATGACGAGCGCAAAGTTGTCTGGTTGAATGCGCATAGGGATCGGCTCCCAGTGCCCGAGCTCGTCGTTGAATCGACTTGCAACTTTTCTCCTCCACTTAACCACATTGTCCACGGGACTCTCCCAGGTAGAGTGCTGCACGTCGAGGTCTTTTAACAATGTCTGTATTTGAAGCGTCATGGCCGGGGGCAGGCTAGCCGGGAGGTCTGCAATCATTTCGGGGGTCGACACCTTCTTGTCGGTCCTGATCTTGTTGACCTCTGCCAGCGCAGCCGCTCGTTCCTTTTCCTTGGCCTTTTGCTCCTTGGCAGCATCTTTCTCTTGCTTCTTGCGCTCCTTTTCTCTTTCTCGTTCCGCAGCTTTCGCTTCTTTCTCTCTCGTTTTTGCTTCCACTGTTTTTATCGTCGGTGCGCGGCTGGTACTCGATTTCGAGGTGGCTTTCGATGGCGCCTTTGAGGTAGTTCGTAAAGCTGGCTTTTTCGTATTCAATCGTGCTTTGAGTTTCGAAACATCAAAGCTATCGAGGTCTGGGAATTCTCCGTCCGAGTCGGCATCGAGACCTCGGGCTGCAGGCTCCGGCTCCGAGTCGCTGAGATTGATCACAGCGCTAGCGGCTTTGGTCATGGCCTTTCGCGGTGGAGGAGGAGAGCTCTCGAACGGATCACTTCTAGTCTTCAGCTCGGGCGCAGAGCTCGAGATGGGGTCCCAATGAGCCTTTCGTCTGGGCGGTGACACAGCCTTCTCTTTCCTCTTGGCCGCAGTCTCAGCTAGTTTTCTTGTATTTGGTGGTTTCAGAGTCTCCGTCGGTGCTCGTTTCGGTGAGCTGGCAAATGGGTCGTCATCGTCATCGTCTAGAGTTATTGCACACGGCTGTGGCATCGCTTTCCGTACCACAGGTGGCGAGCTCGCAAAGGGATCATCGGAGCTTAATTGGTAGTTTATGTGGCCGGTCCCGGTGGCTTTGGCATTCGGAAGCGGGTTCTCATACACCGGCGCAGGCTGCGCTGAAGGCGGCAGTGCTGCGAACGGGTCATCGGAGTCAAGCCTGTCCGCCGCCGTTGAAGCAGCTGGGGCAGTTGTCTTCGGTGGAGAGAAGACGCCGGGAGAACTTGAGTACTCGATTGGTTCCACAACTGAACGTACTCGTCGCAAACCGTCAACCTGCTTCTGAGGCGGCCGGGTACCATGATCAGTGGCGGAATGGGAGCGGTCGAAGGAGGATCTGCGGCTGCGACGAGGAGACGAGAGTCGTCGTCTTTTGCGTTCTCTTGGTTCGGTGTTCAACCCGTTTCCAATTGGTAGGCTGCTATCGAGATCGATAGTTGTATCAAAGTCGTCCGAGTTGAAGTAAATGGGCGTATTCATAGAAACAGTTTCCTCTCGTGCACGTTTTGATGCTGAATTTGCCAATGACGCAGAGGTCGTTTTCGGTAGTACGGACGGCAGTGGTAGAGATTTCGGAACAATCTCTGGTGATTCGGCTGTTAAATCAAACATATCTTCATCGCCGTATGCCAGCGCCGTTGCGACAGCTACAACAGTTGGTGGCGCAGGACGAGATAGTGGGGGTCTTGCGTTCGCAGAAGAGGACCCCGAGGGGCTGCTGGAGAGAAGGTCGATCACTTCGGCGGGCATGGCTTTTAGCGATTTGAATCGTTCTTGGCCAGCCTGCGACTATGAGGCGTGGTGAATACGGTGGAGGGCGCCTAGGGCATGTCGCAGATGCACTATCAACGGCATGGGATCTCGATGTCATCGACACAGATTCACGGCACAAAGTCGCGTCTCGCCTTGCGCGGGTGGGGCACCGGCGCAATCGGACGGGTCAGCGCCGATGGTCCTAGCGCGAACCAGTCACGTAAGTCACGTGCGGATGACTGCAGTGCTTTGTCAGCGGCATCTTCGCAGCAGCCATACAATAATACGTAAGTACACAGAACATGTGGGTGGTGGTCGGTGCCGATTGCTCTTCAACGCCAAATGCCAGATCAGACCCTGAATCATCTGCTTCAGACTCTTCCGCCTCCTAGATCCGCTGAATCACTCCTCCACATGATCTCTAGTCTTAGTGAGCGATCTCTACTCAAGAGGACTGTCTAGATTGGGTCTTTGCCCCGAATGCCATCCGATCCCCATCGGATGCAATACCCCGTATCCCACCGGCCCTCTGCCGTTGGAGTCTCCAAGCGACGTGGGATTGGTTTTGCTGCATGTACAGAACAAGCTTCCAGCCTTCAGACTTCTCGAATTCGGTGTCGGTACGGAGTAATTCTGCTACGGAGACTTCGAAAGTCAGCTACATAGATGCGTATGAGGATTCGACCGCTTCGAGAATGCATGGTCCCCCGCGCTGGCAGTGCAGCACGTAGTATGCCGCACGATGGCCACTACCATACCGGTAATCCACGATGAGGAGCGAATCCGACTGCGACTCGACGATCGAAACCTATGCTAGTGTCATGCCACAATCCTCAAAAGACATGCGAAGCTGGGCGTACGATTCCTGCCAAGGGGTCCGACCGTCGAGGGGGTAGTGCAGGATGGCGGCCCGACGACTTGACAGGCTGATCGCCTTGCGGGATTGAATGGCGGAGCGATGGGTCACTGGACTCCTTCTCCCACGTGTCGACGCATGAAACAACGGTTCAATTTCCCCAGTTGGCAGAGCCCCCGGACCGAGCCCTATCTTTACTTGAACAAGCCCCCGTAATGAGGAGAATTGTTCGTGCTCCCGTGTGAGAATAGGATGCATATTGTGTCCGTTCGGACAGCTATCTCACCATGGGGTGCGATGGTGTTCACCCCATACCCGAGCGAATAAGCGACAATATAGAATCCCGCTTACAGAGGTCCAATCGCGCGCACGGCCGGCTAGGATGTCAATAGCCGACCCAAAAACTTGAAGGTTGTGGTTGAGCAGCAGGGGGTTCTGCCGAGACGGCGTGGCAGTCAATGGTAACCCAATTCTCCTTGCTGGCGTAGGATACTAGCGGGTGATGAATCCGCAAAGAGCCAAAAACGCAGTAGAATATACAGGATGCATCAGAGCTGGCATCTGCGACCCCTCGAGGTTGCAATGCTCTGACTTCGCTTCTGCTCGTTGCAGAACTTCGTCCAGTGTTACCATTTCGGCGAATGATTATGTTCCAGAAGTTTCATGAGGGCCCTCCTGCAACCCATGTAAGTATTCGCTCACTTCACGTTTGCGATGCAAAGCGCGATACTGCCATGAACAGGTGGCAACGATCTGAAAACCTACGGCCAATACGCAGACGTATGAATTTTGTACTGTACACGTGTAGACCTGACCTAGCCTTGAGGGCTGCGTCGATTATCAAGGGGCAATCATTAAGGCAAGTCTGTCCAGGCTACTACGATGCTGAAACCAACGTCAATCTCTTCATGATTGGCTTCGGCGCTTTGTAACCACGCAGAAGAAGTTCAATTTGCACTTGAACGCTGTTAGAGAGTCCCAAAAGCAGTTGCTACAAGCTCGAATTGGTAAGTTTTGTGGAAGTGACGCTTCTTACACATCTCTCTGACACTTGAATTCGGAGACCCGCATCGCGTGCTCCTTCGGCGAGGAACAGATCTGAAATCAGTCTGGCTTCAGTTTGGCATGTGATGGCTTCGCTCTTCGAAATAGACCGACAGTAGTAGAAGCAATTGTTTCTCCGAATGAGACAACGTTGAATCTATTCCAGTGAGATACCCGAGTGGGGCTTGCCCACCGGCTTCGGTCCAGGCTCGCTAGAACCGAACAGCTCGGTGCGGCCCCGTTTAATCAGACCTGGAAGCATTT